AAAGTAGTGGTTTTGAAGAGTTTTGTGCATAGTGTGACATTGTAAATGATTTTTACATGAAAAATTGATTTGTAAAAGGTTATCAATTTTAGTTAATATATATATATATATATTCGATGTGTATAAGATTGTGATATGAGAATATGATGAAAAGTGATGAAATTTATGAAAGAGCATGATCATAAGGGGTGGGAGTTCACTCGAGATATGTAGGAATATGTGTGTGGAGATATGTAAATGAAAAATCCATATAGTCGGGCTGACACCATGGGACATCTTGGCAGTCTGACAATTCCGTAGTACCTATTAGGGTGCGATTAGGAGTCAACGATGCCTCTATCATAAATGTGTGAAGAGAGAAAAATTATAGTCTGTAGGCAGGTTAGATTACCTTTGGTCGGATATTTCTACCACTGAAAGTGTGCTTGAGTCAACAAGTGGTTAATCCAGGAGAGCCTATGGTTTCATGTCGAGAAGCATTGGAGGTTCGGTGGTTAGACGATCATGCTAGTGTGAAACTATGTGTTTTGTTAGGAAAGATACACTTATCTCATAATTATGGTATACTTGTTATTACTATAGTTTTGATATTTTTTCATGATTATTTGTGAAAAGAAACATTTGATGAACTATACTGGTTATTGAGATGTTTATCTCACCCCGTGGTTATATTTTATAAGTGAGGGCTTTAGTAGGAGCAAGGGAAAGGAAGGAGCGTTTGAAAAGTGAAGAGCATTGTAGTATAGCTCTTTCCTTTCTCCTTTTTGGTTTTGTAATAAATATTGTCACTAAATATTGCCTACTTAAAAACATGACATTATTTGGATGTTACTTGTGTGAATCTTGTGATAAGTGTGTAAATCTTAGACCAAGATTGTTACTGTGGATTAAGTGTGTGGTTGGCCAATTTACACTTACATGTAATATATATGTCAAGTGTTTTGAGTGCCAAAATAACCAATTAATTTGTGTGTTGAATTTTATTCACCCCATTGTGTTATTATCCAATGGGGTTTAGTGGTCATTTTGAGCTTGATTGATTAATTGTATGGTATGAATAAATTGTTATGTGATTTGTGATTCATTTGAAATGGTTAAGGTGTCTTTGAAGCTATTGGCATTGTGTAATGTGAGTTGAACACCATAGTATGTATTTTGTTGTGAAAATAAATTATTTTAAATTCGGGTGTTCATCTTTTAAACGGATGATTATTTGAGTATGAAATTAGTGCCATTAGCTAAAGGACTCAAAGAGCTTTCTGTGGACACTTGAATCGCTCTAATCAGATGTTGGATGGCGAAACAACGCGCTTTGAAAGTTTGAAAATAAGCCATAACAGCAGGTGCGCACCACGGTGTGTGATTGTTGCGCCGTGGCACAAGAGACCCTCGAGGGATTCGTCCCTTTGTGCCATCCACCATGGCGGACAGACTAGATAAGAGCAAAGTGACTTGTTTTAGTCTATCTTGAAGTGAATTGATTTCCATGCTTCCGTATTGCTCTTAACTAATTTTTAACCAACGTTTGAGCTTAAACAATACTTAAAAAAAATATTTTTCTAGAATCTTAATATTTTAAATTAATTATTTTTAAACCTTTGAGTTGTGGTAGCTTTAATAGAGAGTTTTATTAAATTTTAATTACCATAATGATGTGTGAGTGATGTCGGCGAACATTTACATGCTATCAACCTTACAAAAAGTTATCCCAAACTTCCACAATACCTTGCTAGGCATGCGAAGAGGACGACTTTTTTACAGCAGATAGATCTCTGCCAGTTCCACATCCATACTTAGCCTTGGGCAGTGAGCCCGCCCAATGCTCATCCGTCTTTGTAAGAATGCTCTAGCGTAATTTCATAATAAAGGCAGCATTTTATTTATTGAGATCTTTAATGCCAATCCCCCAACTTGTTTGCTCTATTTAACTTCATCCCAAGCAATCATATGCATCCTATTTTGACCCGCAATATTTCTTCACTAGAACTTCCGACTTGATTTCTCAATTCCTCTTTGGTTCCTTGATTAAAGTGAAACCTACATGTTCGTTCTCTCTCTTCTTCTTCTCGTCGCCCTGTAGGTCCTTCTTCTTCCATGAGATTTAATGGAGAAAGCATTCCTTTGCCTTCTTTTATAACATCTTCCATCTATTTGATGTTTCTGAGTCATCCTCCAAACTCATAAAAAAATTTGGGTATAAGTTTGACATTGTGGTCAGTCATGTGTCTTAGTCTATCGGTCTCCATAGCTATATTAAAACTTTTTATATAATTTAATTTAATAATAAAAGTTATTTAATATGTGTGCTTGAGCCATCCTCCAAATAATCAAGCTGTCAGCCACGTCATCTCATTTTTAACTGTATTAAAATGATTTTTTTTGATAACAATAAAAAGCATTAAAAAATTTTAACCATAAAGATAGATGCCTCTGCTCTCATAGCATATCAAAGATAAGGACTCAATTTAAAGAAAATAAATTACAGGTTTTCGATTCAAAATTAAAATATTTCTTTCATTTTAATTTATAAGATTTTTTTTGAAAGATTCAGTATCTCAAAATATAAAATAAGATTTTATTAATAATCCTTTACCAACATTATTATTCCCATTATATTTTTTTAGCTAAAATGCATAAAATTTTCTTGAACTTTGAGGTAGCTGCATATGAGTAGCATTAGGCAAATGAGTTACGGGCCAGTCCGTGAGCTAACATTTTTGTGAGTTGGGTTGGGCTAGCTCGCTGGATAAAATAGGTTGGAAAACCTAACCCAATCCATTTTCTAATGGGCTAGCTAGCCCACAAAAATTTATCAAATTTTTTTTAATAATTTAAAATTTATATAACATAAATATATATATATATATATATATATAGTCACATTTCAAAGCAAATTAACAATTAAAAAATTAAAAAAATTTAAAAAAAAAAAAATAAATATAGAATTTAGCCAAGTAAATTCATTTTACTAGATTTTTACTATTAATCATCTTCTTGCCTAGATATTTTGAATATAAAACTATATTATTTTTCTCAATGAATTCATATTTATGATTTCAATTACTAAATCTTATGTAATTAACAAATAATACATATTCAAGATATTTTTCTAATAAAAACTATAAATTTTCAATTTACAAACTAAAACAAATATTTTATTCATAAATTATAAAAAGGATTTACACTATATTTCAAATGAAAAGACATATTTGGGAGTCATAAATTATATATTTGAGAAATATTGTCATTATTGTTATGATAAAAAGATATAATGTGATTAAAAAATAAAAAATATTTTAAAAAATATGCTAGCTCGCAGGTCAACCTATTTTAGTCGGTTAGTTTTTGCAGGTTAGGCTAGCTCAACCCATTTTAAAAAATAGATCAATTTATTTAACCCAACCTGTTAAATTTAGGCTCAACCTGTTTTTTTGGCTCTACATATGACACTCTTCACTTTTAAAAATTAAATAAACCTTTAATTTTATTTTTCAAAACCCGTATTATTAATTATATTTTTTTTCATAAGGGTTAAATCTCATTTAATTAAAAAATGCTATCAAATAAAAATATTAATAATTTAAATATCAATGTTTAAATTATTTTTTATTCATTTTTGTTACTAATGATGCATAGTTTTTTTTTTTTAGAAAATAAATTTTTATTTATATTTCAAGTTAGATTAATATCATGGACATGGCTAAAATATTTAAAATTTTAAATATTAATAAGTTAGATTAATTATCCTTTAACAAGAGAAATATACACCATTGATAATAAAAAAATGGATAAAACTAATACAAAAAATATAAAATTTAATATGGTGAAAATGATATTTGTTTGGCTCTCATTGCTTCAACTATCCAAAAATATAAAAAATTGATTAGTCATAATTCTTATAATATCTTATTTAAAATGTTTTTTAGTTAAATAAAATTTTTACCCTTATGAAAAAAATACTATAATTAGTAAGGGGTTTTGAAAAAAAAATTAAAGGTTAGGAAAATTATTTTTAATGTTTAAAGGTGAAGAAGGTTATAACTACTTCAAAATTAAGGAGTTTATACATTTTAGTTTATTCTTTCTTTTTAACATTCTTTCACAGTAGAATGTTAAATGAAAATTATTTTACAGAGAGTCTTCCTGGGAGCTTTGTGATTTGCTGCAAATGGATGATATGGGCGTTTCTTGTCCGCGTTTGATTGTTGTTCAGTTTCTGTTGGAATTTTCCCCGTCGTTTATCTAGATGGAAAAAAAAAAATATATTTTTGAAAATGTAAATATCATTTTTTTTTTAAAAAAATAAGATTGTAAATAAATTTTATTGATATATAAGTTTATTTAAAATTTTTTTATAAATTAAGACAGAGATTATAAAAACATAATGTTATTATTTAAGTATAAATACTGCAAGGAGACGACGAATCATTGATTTTCCACTTGGCTTCTCTCCTCTCACTCTTCCCTCTTCCCACCCTCCTTCAATCTTCTATTAAATCTGAATAATTTAAATTTAATATTTTTTATCTTTTATTTTTATTTAATATTTATTAAAAAAAAAATTATAAAAAATTGTCATAAATTTGCTCACCAATGTGATAGTTGTTTAGCTTTATGTGGATAATCTAAATTTAATATTAAAAATTTAAATTAGTTTCTCTATATATTTTGAATGGTGCAATCAACTTATTAAAAAATTTTAATTTTAAATTTGCACCATACATAATAAATTTGAACTGTATCGGTGAGTAGATTTATTAAATTTTTTTATATATTTTTATATATTTTTTTTTAATAAATATCAAATTAAAAATATGAACCGTTCAGATTAAATCTGGAGGGTCCAGATTTTCCTTTTCTGCATTGGAGACGCGGAGGTGGGATTCCGGAGGAGAGAATCCGAGTTGCGTTAACTTTACCTAATATATAAATTTTTTGTTTTCGTAATATTTAAAAAATTTTCAGGTCAATACAAAATATGATTTAAGAGTGATATTTGACCTCGCTTCAATTTTCCGAGTGTACATGGATTATGATCGACATTACATTGCAATATCATTGTGAAAACTATCTGACAGGTTGATATCAAAAAATAAAAAAATAAAGAAAGAAAGAAAGAAAGAAAGAAAATTCTGACACAGTTTCGACAATATCGTCTGTATTTGTAATTTTCCTGAATCCTGATACGACTTCTGATAAGCCTGGTTGTATCTTATATGCCCCCTGCATGATGCATAGATCGTGATTCGTGATTGATTTCTCTATGAAGGCAGGTTTACCTAGCGCAACTCTGTATTGTATCGCCAACATTTGATGGATTTTTTAGAGAAAGAGCAAGCAGGTGTCGTTCTTTTCTATGAAGCCTTTGCCTCTTTGGGTAGCACCGAGTAGGACTTGGTCTTGCTATAGACAAACATAGAATGCTTGCTTTCTGGAAGATTATGGAATGGCCAGACATGGTTTCGTCAAACAATTGGTCGGTGACCTCTCTTTCCTCGACTCGTCACCCTTTGCAAAGCTTTTGGAATCTTGTATCCGATCAAAATCCGGGCTTGACACTCGTCGAATTCATGCTCGAGTCATTAAGACCCAGTTTTCCTTGGAAATTTTCATCCAGAATAGGCTGATTGATGCCTATGGGAAATGCGGTTGTTTAGATGATGCACTCAAACTGTTTGATTGTATGCCCCAAAGGAACACTTTTAGTTGGAATGCCATTTTAAGTACATTGACAAAGTCTGGTAATCTTGATGAGGCGGCAAGGATCTTTAAGTCAATGCCGGAGCCTGATCAGTGCTCATGGAATGCCATGGTATCAGGCTTTGCTCAACAAGATCGCTTTGATGAAGCTCTGAAACTTTTCGTTGACATGCACAGTGAGAATTTTGTGCTGAACGAGTACTCCTTTGGCAGTGCTCTTAGTGCCTGTGCAGGGTTAGCAGATTTGCGTATGGGTGTACAAATCCATGGTCTGATTTCAAAATCTCATTTCTCATTTGATGTTTACATGGGTTCTGCTCTTGTTGATATGTATGGTAAATGTGGGGTGGTGACTTGTGCTCAAAAAGCTTTTGATGGCATGGAGGTGCGCAATGTAGTTTCTTGGAACAGTTTGATCACATGCTATGAGCAAAATGGTCCTGCAGGTGAAGCTCTTCAGGTTTTTGTAAAGATGACGAACAATGGGATTGAGCAAGATGAGATTACTCTAGCCAGTGTGGTCAGTGCTTGTGGCAAGCTTGTCGGCTATTAAGGAAGGTTTGCAAATTCATGCTCGTGTGATGAAATGCGACAACTTTAGGGATGACCTTGTGTTAGGTAATGCATTGGTTGACATGTATGCAAAATGCAATAGAATAAATGAAGCCAGATTTGTTTTTGATGAGGATGCCACACAGGAACGTAGTGTCTGAAACCTCAATGGTTAGTGGATATGCAAAGGCAGCAAGTGTGAAAGCGGCCAGATTGATGTTTTCAAAAATGATGGAGAGGAATGTGGTATCTTGGAATGCACTTATCGCCGGGTACACACAAAATGGCGAGAATGAAGAGGCAGTCAAATTATTCCTCCTCTTAAAAAGGGAATCCATTTGGCCAACCCATTACACCTTTGGAAATCTACTCAATGCATGTGCTAATCTTTCTGACCTGAAGCTGGGTAGACAGGCTCATACTCACATTATAAAGCACGGATTTCGATTCCAGTCTGTAGGAGAGCCAGATATTTTTGTGGGAAATTCTCTCATTGACATGTACGTAAAATGTGGATTGGTTGAAGATGGTCACGTAGTTTTTGAGCACATGGTAGAGCGGGATAACGTGTCATGGAATGCCATGATTGTGGGATATGCACAAAATGGTTATGGCTTAGAGGCTCTTGAAATTTTCAGGGAAATGTTGGTTTCTGGTGAAAAACCAGATCATGTAACAATGATAGGAGTTCTATGTGCCTGTAGCCATGCTGGACTGGTTGAAGAAGGGCGTCATTATTTTTACACAATGAGAACCAAGCATGGTTTAGAACCGTTGAAGGATCACTATACATGCATGGTTGATTCACTAGGTCGGGCTGGTTGCCTTGATGAAGCCAAAAACTTGATAGAGGCGATGCCATTGCAGCCTGATTCTGTTGTATGGGGATCTCTACTTGCTGCTTGTAAGGTTCACGGCAACATAATGTTAGGGAAGTATGTGGCAGAAAAGCTCTTGGAGACTGATCCTTCGAACTCAGGACCTTATGTTCTGCTTTCCAACATGTATGCTGAGCTTGGTAGATGGAAAGATGTAGTAAGAGTTCGGAAACTGATGAGGCAACGGGGCGTAATAAAGCAACCCGGTTGCAGTTGGATTGAAATTCGGAGTCATGTGCATGTTTTCTTGGCGAAAGATAAGAGGCACCGCCGGAAAAAGGAAATATATTCAGTATTAAAAGTTCTCACGCCTTTTTGTTCTTGCAAGTTGGATGAAGACCACACATTAATAATGAATTACTTGTCCTCGAAACTTTTCAAAGTACGCAAATCGGTAGCTGTTGAACCCTGAGCAGAATCTTCTAGTTACTGCAGGTTTGAAAGCAGTAGATGAACCGGCTTTCTTGCGGACCGGTTGCCGGGCCAGCTAGTTAAAAACAAGCAAGCATGACATTTACCCATCCGCTGCATAAGCAAGCACTTGGTCTTTGAGGTCCCCCCCCCCCCCCCCCCCCGGGAGGGGGGATTCTAGAGAGAATACTGGGGTATCTGAGGCAGACAATGATTCTCATATTGTCTTCATATCGTTGTATTTTTATCATTTGATATAAACTCTTACTTAATTGGCTGATTTCAGTTGCCAGACATGTACTTCAACCGTAATACAGTGGCAGAATTGAAATTAAGCTTACCCCTCAACCCTGGTAAAAAGCTCTTCCTTCAATTATAATTCTATTTCATTATTTGTTGAGAACGAAACTGATGGGTTAGGTAGTCGGCAAGGACATGTATACGAAAAAATGTGAGCACTGGAGGAATCTAGATGGAGAAGAGAGAGACATTGTTGTGAATTAAGTATTCATTAAAAAAGCAGAAATTAACATATATCAAGTTAGTACAATTTGCTGGTACTGACCAAACCTGTAATAGTTTATACATTTTGTTGATATGACATCTTTTCTTTGGTTGCTATTTGCAGAAAAATCCAAGACATGTGAACCCGCAAGAGAGGGGTCTTCATATGATGACACCTTAGAAGGTCCTCTGCGAGCATCTGTATCTAAGAATCATATAGGAAACCGACCTGTAAAACAGGATGAAGCACACCATAACCCCAACATTCTTCCATTTACTCCTTTCGCCTCCATACCCTTCCTCTTTAAGCACATCCTCCCCGGTCATCACACACGCCCCAAACATGTACCCTAAGCACTTGCCTGAGTTGGAGAACTCGTTAATCAGAAGCCCTTCAAAGGGATACTTAAACAGTGATATATAATGCATAAAAATCCAGTAATTTGGAATTTCCTGTTTTGATATGAAGTAGCCAGAGACAAGAAGAATGACCCGATGACTCCGGCGATCACTGAGTTACCCACAATGAAATTAGGCACCAAAGCACTGAAACACACCACTACTGAATTTGCAGTGTAAAGAACTAACCAAATCAGCCACAGGAAGTGCAAAAAAGCTGTGAAATTCCGGTTAAGCCCAACAATCCAGTATAAGGGTACGGTGAATAAAATGGCTAGGATGAGTAGGAATGGCAAGTAAACCAAGCCATTTGCAATAGCATAGGATGATACTCTGTAGCTTCCACAAGAGGTCTCCTTCATTAGAATGTCCCTTTCTTGCAGGAAAATTGGCAGCGCTTCTACTGTGCTTGATAATAAAAACGATAATATGAACGCAAATAGACCTACCCTTTCTTCAGCACCCTCTAGCCCATCCTTGAGATTACAAAAGATGGAGCCCAAAACGAGTCCAGAAATCAGCATCTGGATCGTCCTGCATGCAAAGAGCTCCTTTGTACGGAAGATGTTTTTGAAGAACCGGTGACTGAGAATCATAGTTTCTCTCAATCTAGAATTTGCAAAATCACAAGTGAAATCCATTCCAGCGTTGATGATTTCTTCATCAATTACCTTTGATTGTTGAAAGAGCTGCTGCAGAGTAAACTTTCCACTTCTACTCTCACCTTGAATATCACCTTTCTTTTGCTGCATTGTAGCGGGCAATTGTGGAGGCGTTTGTAATTGAAATTGCTGACACTTCCTCTGTTTCTCAAAGGATTCAATGGATTCAATCGCAAATTCAACAACATTAACATGAAGTGGAAGCTCTAAACCCATTAATCTTAGATTGACACCCAACAAATCCGCAGTTCCATGGTGTAACACACGGCCATTGGCTAACAACATATAGAGTTGAACAATTTTACAATTCTGAACCCAGGTTGATGGATGCTTAGGATTATAGTTCGGCCCCTTGAATTAGCCATGACCTTTAGCATTTCAATGATCTGCAGGGCAGATGTACTGTCAAGGCCGGAAGTTGGTTCATCCAGAATCACTACTTTGGGGTCGTGGATGACTTCAACTCCAATTGAAACTCGGCGTTTTTCACCCACCGGATATCCCACGGGCCCTGTTATCTCCAATTCGAGTCTGAGCAACGTGGCTGAGTCCAAGCTCCTGAATCAGTGACTTGACTCTGCTGCAGAGTTGATCTTGAGGAAGCTTTAGCCTTAGCTTTGCACAAAACATCAAGGTTTCTTCAACCGTAAGTAAGGGAAACAGAATATCATTTTGTGTAACATACCCTGAAATCTTCCTGAACAGAGCATTATCTACAGGTTTCTGGTTCACCAAGATGGACCCACTTTGTGGGTAAACTTTACCAGCAATAATCTCAAGCAGGGATGATTTTCCAGCTCCACTTGGCCCAAAATGGCGAGAATTTCTTGTGGCTTGGCTTGGCAGCTCACGTCCTTGAGGACATGCCTTACTCGACCACTGCATGCTTGTTCAGGTTTTGCTTCTTCTTCTTCTTCTTCTTCTTCTTCTGGTTTTTGGCCTTTTTCTTGGTCGATTTGTTTTGGAAATTTGCTAAAGATTTTAAAAGGGTGCTCTGTTTTCTGTGTGCGGATCTTGTAGTTGATGCCTATCGCTTCGACCTCACAGCCTTGATTCTTCATTGTTTCAATGTCGTTTCTTCTACTCACTTTGTTTTCCGATCCCATTTGGTTTCGCTTCTCTTATTTAATCCAAAATGTTCTGGCCTCAGCTGCAGACTGTGAAGCAATAAGTGGTAAGAAGGAATTTACCTGCAATGACACTAAAGTCCTCGAACTTGTATCCATAGTTCACGTGCACTAGTTCTTGCTGTTCTGTAACATAATGATATAATTCGTCATAGAACTTAGAAAATACAATAGTTCATTTGATTAAAAAATAACTACAGTTCACGTGGTTTCTCTCCATGTTTTAGATGGACGGCTATCCAGCACATATATCTTTTATGGCCAACAGCAACTACAATAAGGATGTGATGTTAATGGTTTTGGAGAAACTACTGATACGGAGTTTCAACTTACAAAGTGGCCCTTCAACCCGCGTGGGGGATTTTTTTTAAGTTACAGCCACTTGTCCTTTGTGCATAAAGCCATAAACCATGACTCGTTTACCTTCATCTTCCTTCTTTAACACTGTCTTCTTTCTTGAATCTTGATTAGATTAATGTTATTTTCTTTTTAGGTCAGAGGTAATATAGGAAATTCGCTGGGAGAAAATAGTGTCTGAAGCTCTGAGCTCCTAGACCTAGTCATTCTACAGGTGCCGATACTAAATAAATACTACTTGCCAAAAAATTTACTGCAAAATCCTAAGTACAGTCTCGTAGCAATTTGGAGTGACATGCAAGGAAACTGGGGATTGGGAACGAAGTGGTGGGCCCTGGGGACCTCAAGTTTGTGGCTGCTATTTTATGATGCTGCAAAACCATTTAAATCTTCCACATCCGCGTAAGTTGACAAGACCATCAATTTTAATCTGTCCTCATCTTTCACTACACTATATTAATTATATCTGTTTATGACCATCAATTTTTGTTTAAAATTACCTAGAGCAAGGTAGATGCTTGAAATTGCTAGCGGATCAAACCTACGACCTTTCATCAACAAGGGTTGGCTTCATGTCGTTTGGTCATACGTCCATTGCCCCCTAATTTAGTTTTCAAACTCATCTTGGAAGCCTAGTGAAGCCTCTCTTAAAAGATTTATGATCAGTTTATCCTTGTTAGGAAGTAAAGATCACATTAGAAAGAGCAGGTCCCTACTGGGTTAAAAAGAAATGATGAGTTATGTGTAATTTATTGATATTATTAATCAATTCATGTGTTCACTTTCATTCAAAGATTTAACCTGTTTGTTCAAGTTCAAAAAGAAAATAAAAACCTGTGTTATTGAATAATGTGATTCAGTGTCATAAAGGAGACACCCGTGAACTCTTTTCTGTGGTGATTTGGGACCTCTCGTTTGGCACCTTGGCCCACCTATGAACAACTCATAATCACATATTTACTATTCCGATTAGGAATAACAAAACAAGAAAGACAGACAGAAATGTAATATATAATCCCTCTTTTGCCATGCCCGTGAACCTTTCTCTCTCCTGTTTTCACTTGTTTCGTTGCATCATTCAATTATTGAAAAGATCTATCTCCCTGTGTAAAAAAAATGATTTTTCATCATTTTTTTCCATATATAGGAAGCTCAGTTCCTGTGTTTTCTGTGTGTTCCTGTGGCAATGGTTGATATCTGTTTCAATTCTAATATTTACTGTGATAATAAAAGATTCTTCTGCCGTAACATATCTAAATTTCTTTATCTCTTATTATTTGAATTATTTATTATTTATTTATCTATATCTATATTGTGAATATGAATTGCTTCCAAGCGGGACCTGACCTATGCGCAGGAAACAAACAAATATTCTTAACTAAAGCATCTTGTTTGTTGTAGCTTTCCGAAGCATGTTGTACCATAAACTGGACAAATGAATGATATTTGATTGCCACATGAGTTCAATGAAGGTACCTCCAGATCAGATTCACTATGATTTCGGTGCATCAAATTATTACCTTGCATTATTGAAGTTTGAAATCTGAGAGTTTGAGTTTCAATTTATGTCTAATGAGGATTTGTAGAGTTAGATAATGCAGGCAATTCAAATAAAGGAATATTCCTTCTGGTGGGTTACTAATACTATCTTTTTTATTGCCATGAAGGTTCTGCAAGGGTCATTGTTTATTAAGCTCTTGACTTAGGATCCTACTGAAAGTAAAATAATTAGCCATGAATCTGTGATCCAGTAATATACATGTCGTTATTAGCTCATTTGAGCTCAGACTCTTTTTTAAAAAATAATATTCCTTCTGGTGGGTTACTAATTACTATCTTTTTTATTGCCATGAAGGTTCTGCAAGGTCATTGTTTATTAAGCTCTTGACTTAGGATCCTACTGAAAGTAAAATAATTAGCCATGAATCTGTGATCCAGTAATATACATGTCG